CTAAGGGAAACATCACAAAACTTTCACAAGGTGAATCGCAACATGTACAAGCACCCAAATTAGTGAAAATCGCAGTTTTGACAAGGGGGAGAAGGAGAAAGAATGGAAAAGGAAGAAGAAGAGGAAGGAGAAGAAGAAGAAGAGGAAGACGGAGGAAGGGGAGAAGAAGGAGAAGAAGGTGAAGAAGAAGAAGAAGAAGAAGAAGAAGGAGGAGGAGGAGGAGGCCTCCCTCCTCTTTCACTCACCTCTCGCTGGTCTCTAGGCAGTGGAGTCCCAATGCTTGGTTCTAGCCTCCTGAGTATGGCTTTTCCGCCTCCCCAAGTCCTCTCCTCCTCCTCTCACACCTCCTTCCAGGTTATGGCAAGCTCCTATCTCTAAGGCTAAGGAGTCCTTCCCTCTAGAAGGGCTAAGGGGACCCCTTTCAGCCTCTCCTCCTACCTCACAGCCTGAGGGCTATGGCGGGCCACCTCCCTTGCCTTTCTCTAGCCTTTAGACCTCCTCCCTTGTCTCATCACCATAGCCAAGCTCCAGGCTAGCTCCGACCCTCACCTCCTTGCTCTATCTCACTAGCATTCACTCACGGACTCATTTTGGCAGCATGGGCTCCTCTCATGCTCAAATGAGAGTGGCGGCCTACACCTCCAGCTTATGTAGGCTGGAACAGGTGCACCGCCCAACCTCTAGGCACCTCCAAGAGCCTCTAGGTGGACCGAGGTACCCTTAAGGCCAAATTTTCGGTTTTGGCCTATCTGGAGGTACCTAAGCCTCATTCCGGCGAGGTACATGCAGTTCGAGAGGCTGGTACCCTCTCGAATTACTCCTTGGCCTACCCCGGCCTCTTTTCACCTCAAAAAGTGCTGCCTTTTGGGTACCACTACCCCAAAATGCAGCCTTTACCAAAATTTGAGGGCCTAGAGGCCCGTTTTCCACCTTTTTCTTGGTCTAGGCCTCTTTTGGGTAGGCCATTGCATTTTCCCAAGTGGCGGCACAGATCTCAGCCTTGGATTTGGCTGAGATCTATGGTTCTCATTATTCCGAGTTACTCCAAGCTCTCCCTTGCTCCAAATTTGAGCCTTTTGCTCCAATTTTCAATTTTTTTGATGTACTTGGCCCAGACCTTGGGCCAAATTCGCAGTTTTGTCTTGTTCCTCTCTTTGTTTTCCCTCCAATTTGCTGGCAACTCATTCCGGAGCTAGCCGTTTTGTGTCAGCCTACAAAAAACGGCTAGATTTCCTCCTCCGCAAGATGAGATCTCAGATCTAAGGCCCAAGAATGAGCCGGCCAACTCACATGAACATTTTTCTTTATTTTTATTGCTTAAATTCAGATATTGCAGAGATAATGCCCCAAGGACCTTATCTCTGCAATCTGGACTGCACTCCTAGGATCTAGGAGGGATGAGGTCATCATTGGGACCTGCCCATCCCTACTGCTGCAGTCCCAACCTGGCGGCACATTTTCCTCCACTCCTTCCTCCTCTGTCTCATTCTCCCCCTTTTTCTCCCATTTTCTCTCCCTCCTTTTATTGTTGTAGGGACAAGTGTCCAATAGCTATTTCTCCTCTTTTTGGTTGTTGGACTTCACCCAAGGTCTGTTTTTGTAGCCGGCACTTGGCCGTTGCACCTCGGACTGCAGTAGCGGCATCCCCAAGGCCAAAGGGGGCTCCTTTTTGCTGCTGCCGCTTCCCGTTTGGGACCCCCTTGCTTCGATTTTCTCCGGCCAGCCCTTTTTCTACGTGGAGCCCTCGAAACTTCGTTTTTCTTGGCCTGGCCGATCCGGGATACTCGGACTGCTGGCCAGCCCCCTCATTACTACTATCCCCTCCTCTTTTTCCCCTCGGCACTTCCTGTCGGCGCTTGTCGCGGCGGTACTCATCATTTTCGTCCGGACTCCTGGCCCGGATGGTCCCGTGCACCTGACGTTATTTTATTTTATTTTTATCTTTGTCGTTGCATTGGATCCAGGATCCCCCTGGGTCGCCCCAGGTGCCCTCCGTCTTTCCCGTCACATGTCCGTCGCCTCCCCCCATTTCGTCGACAATTTCTGTCAGCGCCCGACTTTTCCTCCTTTTCTTACCGCTCCTAGTCACCCCGGGTGACGACCCGCTTGCGCGCGTCCGTCTGGCGGGCCGGTTGCCAACTATCCTGCCGACGGCTCCGACCTCTGGCCCCCGTCCGCGGCTCCCAACGCTTTATCCCATCGATACCCGCCCTACTAGTGGTTCCGCTGGCGCCGCCATCCTGTCTAGTCCCACGTGGTTCCTGGCGCTTTGGTCCGCCCGCGCTTCGTCTATCCCTTGGTCTTACACGGTTCCTGGTACTTCGCCCTGCTGATATCATGCCGTCCCTTGGTCTCGCATGGTCCCTGGCACCTAGTCCCGCCGACACCACACTTCTTCTTAGTTCCTTGTGGTCACGACACTTTGTCTTGCCTGTGCCATGTCTTCCCTTGGCGTCCTTCCGCCTTACGGTGATCTCCGCTCCCCATTCCCCCTTGCGTCCCACACGATGTTCCCCTTCGGACGCCAGTTCCCACCTAACCCGCGATCTCCTTGGCCTCCCTGCCGCCGCGTCGCGCCGGCGCCTTGCGCCCTGTCCCTTTCTTCTTTCCTTCCTCCCTTTGCTGCGCACCCCCTATGATACTACCGACTCCCCGGTGGCCCTTCTCCGTCCTTGGAAAAAGAGTCGCTCCTGCTATTCTCTCCCAGTCCCTTGCCACTCCCTGCTTAGACAGTTCCTTTCTAGTTTGGCGGTCCTGCCGATTTTGGGCAGCCTCCAGCTTCCTACCGTCTGTGCCCACGCTTCCGATCTTTTCAGCATTCCTACCTCCGGTTTTCTCTGTCGTGCACAAACTGGTCATATACAGTCTCTCGAGTGACGGGAAATCGTACGGGACTCACCAGTCCCGACACCGGCCCGTCGAGCATCCTGCCGGCTGTGCAGTTAGGAAGGGTGGTTGCTGAACGACTGGGTACCATTGGGGTTCTCTTGGCTTTGAATGTCCCTGCTCAGCTTTTTTTTTTTTTTTCATAACCTCGTGTTTTCAGGGTGCACCCCATGCGGTGCACACGCTTCGTCTGAGTGTCAGGGGGGCGGGGGGTGAACGGAGGGTCCCCGCTCTACAGTTAGAGCGGCGTCCTAACCCCGCGCAACCGCCGCCCTACCCCCAGTTCAACGGGGTAGACTGCCCCCGGCCGAAGAGCGCCGCGAGCAGTGGGGGGGGGATCAACCCCGTTTTTGTGGCGTGGGGGGGAGGCCCCGACAATCGGGGAGCGCCCTGCGCTGCCATTTCTTTTTTTAAATAAAAAAATTAAAAAAACGGCACAGGTATGAAATAGCGGGCCAGCCGTCAGACCCTTTCGGGGGACCGACGGCTAGTGGGAACTGCCCAGTGGCCTCGGCCTGCCCAATAACTTGGGACTGCCTGTGTGTGTGTGTGTGTGTGTGAGAGAGAGAGAGAGAGAGAGACAAAGAGAGAGAGAGGATTGGTGTTAAAAAGGGTGGGGGGGTTGGTGGCTGAGGGAGATAGGCTGGGAGGGGGTGTTGAGGGATGTTGCGGAGGGGCATCGAGGGGTGTTGAGGGGTGTAGGGGAGGGGTGTTGAGGGATTTAGGTTTAGTGGTGTAGAGGGGTGTTTTTTTTTTTGTTTTTTGGCCTCATCATCCGCAACCCCCCACGGCCCGCGAGTTTTTGGGAACCGGGTTTGATGGAGGGGAACAGGGGTAGAATGGGGTTAAACGGGGATAGGGGGGGTAGAGCGGTGCTCTAACGGCGGCATACCCCGCTCTACCCGTCCTTCCCCGGTTCCTAGCGGCTTTGTGCATTCGGCGGATGTGCTAGGCTGCCGTGCACTGTGTGCGCCGCATGTATGTTATGCATGCTTGTTAAACCACCTGTAAGTTTCCCAGCTATTCTCGAAAATGCGGGCAGGATGTGCACTGTTGCGTGGGATGCAGGGTGAGCACAGATTCATTAATTTTTAACCATCTTAGCAGGCCCCACGTTTCAAGGCCAGGTACTCGTGGTTTAAAGATTGTTTGTGTGAACAAAAAAAAAAAAACGTTTTTCTGTCTAGACTTTGTGCAGTCCCTTCCAGGTGTTTTGGGGGACATTTGTTTAAATTGGACTCGATACATAGAAGATCAGCATGACCCTGGCGCAAGGAGGACACACAATCAAGAAACAATCCACATTTTATGATTTTTTATTTTTTTGTTGTCAGCTTTTTTTGCAGTTCCTTTCAGGTCTACTTACAGCCTCTGTAGGACCCGTTTTCTTCATGTTAAACTTTGAGGAGTCTTTTCTTTGCCTTAGTGGAGGCCGCTATGTAACATGGATTTGCAATTTTGTGGTTTGTTATTTTGTTTGTCCATGCAGTATTTATGAAGGTCTTCGGACTCCTACTTAATGACACTGCGGACGATTTCAATCCCTGCTTCTTGTCCCCTGTTTTGCAATCTACCAAGTGCGAAATAAGCAATTATACTGGAGGTCAATGTTTACGGCTGTCAGAATTGTTAAGTACATTCCCCATGCACCTTCTCTCAGATCACCCTGGATACTCAGCCTGATATTTGCATGTCAAGGACCTTGCTCGCCTGTATGCGTGTGATTTCAGTTCTAGTGTTTTGTGTATTTTTTGCAAACGAGTTTTGAGCTCTGCAGTGATCCTTGCAGATTTCAGACTTCTGAGAAGCCTCAAGTTATGTTTTGTCTCAGAAATCCAGAATTGGTGTTGGTAACGTGGTATATGCAATCAGACTCGCTTTCATTCACACTTTACATGCATGCAAACAGTAGCGCAGCAACTGGCGACATGCGCCCACTTCAAAACTCAGAGATATGGCAAGCCAGATATGAGTTCACTTTCAATGGCTATGGCAACTCAGCGCCCAAACAACTCTCTGTTCGCATACACCGGATCACCCTGGATATCCCACACGCAACCCTCTGAACACTCACATACACACACACTAAACACTAACTACAGCTATGGCTGTTATGGCCGCCTCTACCCTATCGCTATGACTAAGCTTCGTCTCTCTGCCCACTTCTTCTTCGGGCGTCACTGCAGACCTCCTTGCACAAGTCGCTGTGGCAGCGCTTCCGCATGGCTCACGCAGGAATGAATGAATGACTGGGCTCTGCCTCTTGATTTATACTTCTGCAGCTCGTTGGTCTGCCCTCTTCCATCGGCCCATGGTGCACACAGTCCCTCATGGTACTTGCTGGACTGGACTGGGACTGACTGAACTGCACCGCTGACTGCACTGGACCGCACTGCTGACTGCTTGGGGACTCACTGCTAACCATACTTGCGGCGCATTTGTGCGGTGCGCGATGCGGTGCGCTGCGCCATGCGGACTGCGCGCGCACGTGCGCGAAAGTGCGCACGAGGTGCACCGTGCGCGCAGCGCATGGGGACGCGCTACCCCTGCGAGGTGCGCACTGTGCGCCATGCCTCTTTTTTT